CTGACCTGAGAACAAGAAACCAGAACAGTGTTGGCTAAATGGGCCAGAGAGCAGGCAGAGAGAGCCCTGCCCCTGGGGCTCAGAGGGCAGATCCAGCCATCTCCCCCGCCAACCCCCTGGAGCAAGACCAGTGGCTCACTCCACCCGCGCCCCCTACCCCAAGTGTGACATCTCACTTCCCATGCATCAGGTTCTTTTTACTACCTTGGTGGAGAAGCCACAAAACCTCCTTCCCACCCGTCGCAACCTGCAAGCTCCTATTTTCTTTCTGGGCCAAGAGCTGGAATGGCTCCACCCCTCCCTGGGCCCCCCGGAATATGGCTCAGGCACCCCTGTCTTTGCAGGGACCAGGTGCCCCGAGCACACTGGTCACACCTCAGAGGGAGAGTATTCTGGATCCTGCACCTGTTTACGGCCCCTGAATGTGTGGCTTCAGAGTAGGGATGAAGGGACCAGGCTTAGCTTGTGAGCTGGCCAGGGTTTGTGGAGCTCTCCATCCCACGGATGCTGTGACCTTCCTTCCGTGGAGAGGCAGGTAATGCCACCAGGGAGGAGGGGAGCTGCAAAGCTGAAATCTAGGGCACTGTTTCCTCCCATCCTCCTCTTCATAGAGAATATAGATGTTTGTCTTGTCAGTCTTCAACCTACTTTTCTTTTTTCCTTTTTGCATTTCTCATCCTTTTTGTGCTGCCTCTCCACCCAGGAGACCATGTAGCATGATGGAAAATGTCCTGGAGTGTATCCTGGCTCAGCCCCTAACTCACCATGTGACATTGGACTAGTCCCACCCCCCAACCCCCTTTGGGGCCTCAGTTTCCCCATTTGCAAAATGAGTAGGATAAACCAGATGCTCTCCAGGGTCTTTTCCCAGTCTGCTGTTCTACAGATCTTCATTTTTCTCTTGTTTTGCTTTCTTGGGATCTTTTCCATCAGAGGGGACAGGAAGTGCCAGGACCTGTTTCAGTTTGTGAATCCTGCAAGCACATTCCAAGACTGGCCTGCGATTGCATGAGCAACATCACTCTAAATAATTTTTTTTTTCAAAAGCACCTTCCAACCAACTGCGATGCTGTCCTGTTCCTTTTTACTCACACCCCTCCCTCCCCTCTTGTCCCCACGCTCCCCCACCTCAGTGCTCTGTGCTGTATGCGTGTGCTCTCTGTTCTTGTATACTCAATAAAAGTGAAATAAATGTGTTTGATGCTGAACCACAAACTGCCTTGGCATCTCTCTCTCTCTCTCTCTCCCAGCCCTTAGCTACCAGTACGGGTTGGCCTTGTGGGGAGGGCTCAGACAGGTGTGGAGGAAATCCCAACCTTGAACACTTTCATGCAACACTTATTTGCAGCTTCCAATATGGTCTCTGACTTGGGTTAGGCTCTGCAGGCACAACCGCAAATAAGACAAATTTCCTGCCCTCTGGGAACGCTCAGACTTGTGGAGTGCTGGAAACATAATACAACAGGCAAGCAGTTCTGGAGTGATCGGCACCAGGAAGGAAATGCACAGAGGCAGGAGTTGGCTGCTGAGGGAGACCACTTAAATAAGGTGGCCAGTTATGGCCTCCCTAAGGAGGAGCTAAATGAAGAGAAAGATCCAGTAAGGTGAGGGGCTTGGGCAAGATATTCTAGGCAGGGGCGCCTGGGTGGCTCGGTTGGCTCAGGTCATGATTCTAGGGTCCTGGGATCAAACCCCGCATTGGGTTCCCTCTCCCACTGCTTGTGCTCTCTCTCTCTCTCTCTGTGTCAAATGGATGAATAAAATCTTAAAAAAAAAAAAAAAAGAGTGGGGCGCCTGGGTGGCTCAGTGGGTTAAGCCTCTGCCTTCAGCTCAGGTCATGATCTCAAGATCCTGGGATCGAACCCTGCATCAGCTCTCTGCTCAGTGGGGAGCCTGTTCCCCCCACCCCTGCCTGTCTGCCTCTCTGCCTACTTGTGATCTCTCTCTCTCTCTCTGTCAAATAAATAAATAAAATCTTAAAAAAAAAAAAAAGACTATTCTAGGAAGAAGGAACAGTTAAGTCTGTGGGCCCCAGGATATAGAGGTGCTTGATGTGTGGAAGAACAGCATGATCCCTCCTCTTTCTGAAAGAAGAGCACTTACATTGGGGGTCTCTTCCTACAACCCTCTCCATGGGAACCTAGTGGTTAATGTATACAGTGACCCCCAGCTTCAACCTTTGCCCACCTCCACATACATTGCCATGTCCCTCTACATGCCACTTGTCCCATTATTGACTTATTTAAATGGACTCTGTAAATTATATATATGTGTGTGTGTGTATACATGTATATGTACATATATATGAAACAATATTACTTCCATAAATGAAAAACTAGTGTCACTTGCCAAAGAAAGGAGGTCTTCATAAAACTAAATGCAAAAATATAAAATTAAAAACCCATAATCCATGTAAAACTTACTCCTTGGGCTACCTGAGTTGCATGTACCACACTTTCCTTTTTATTCTAAGTGGCTCACCCCAGGCCAACTTCTCTATTGCCCCAAATCTCACAAGCAAGAACCACTATAAATAATTGGATGCATTTTCTTCCACTCTTTTTCCAGGTATGTATATCTCTTCAGAGCTTAAATTACCTGGGACATACCATTCCAAATACTATTTTAAACTTATTCTGAGCATTTCCTAGTAATTTTGAATACTAAATACTATTTTGTTTCTTTCCAAAGGTAATTCACTCAATGACACAAAATGCTGTGCAGTGAAAACAATTCTTCAATGCTCTCTGGAATCCCGTCCATTGTCAGAGGTAGTTGCTTTCAGGAGTTTTGGGAATCCTTCCCTAAATTTGTTTCTTGTACATTTCCTTTAGCTCTCTGCCACCCATAGGGTTCTGGAATAGGACACGGTTTGCAAATATTGGGTCCACACACACTCTGAATCTGTATCTTTATCTCCCAGAAATTCAGGGTCAGCCTCTGTGTTGCTTGGGAATAACCTGGGGTTGATTTATCTAGATCAGTGGTTCCCAAACGGAGGGGAAGGAGGTGATTTTGCCTTCCCCCAGGGAACGTTTAGCCATGTCTGAAGACATTTTTGGTTGTTACACCTGAGGGGTGCTATTGGCATTCAGTGGGTAGAGTCCAGGGATGCTGCTAAACATCCCATAATCATGGGACAGATCCCACAACAAATCTGATCTGATTTGTCAGTAGTATCAGAGTTGAAAACCTGATCTGGATGGACGTGTGACCCATAAGGTGGCATTCCAGGGTCACCATCTGTAGCTTTCAAGCCCTAATTCAGGGCTGGAGTCTCTGAGAAGATGGTGAGCCCAGCTGGAACAGGGAGCTCTGAGATCATAAACTTAGCTCAGCACCCACACTGGGAATAAGGAGGGTCAGGGAAGGAGCTGAGCTTCTTCAGACAGGAAATGGAACCGACATGACAGGCGGAATTTGACAGGCGTGACTGTGACTGATGGAGGCCATCTCTGGTTAATCCTGCAGCAGCTTATTGTGATTAACCATGACTGCAGAGCCCAGTATAGTCTGCAACCCACTAAGAGATGAGGTTTGACTGAGAAAGATTGGTGTGTCCAGCTGTCACTGAGGAAGTGTGACAGACAAGCTAAGAAGCAGCAGCACGGGGACAGGAACAGTCAGTCAGACTGTGGTTTGCATCCTAGCTCTGCCACTCTCCAGCTGTGTAACCTCTCTGAGCCTTGGTTTTCTCTTCTGTAAGCTGGGAATACTAATATCTACTTCTAGGGTTACGTTAAGGCTTAGAAGTCATATATGAATGGCCTGCCCTATGGATATTGGACTTACCTAGCCAGTCCCCACAATCATACAAGCCAATTCCTTGTAAAAAATCTCTTAATATAGGGGTGCCTGGGTGGCTCAGTGGGTTAAAGCCTCTGCCTTCCGCTCAGGTCATGATCTCAGGGTCCTTGGATGGAGTCCGCATCAGGCTCTCTGCTCCGCAGGGAGCCTGCTTCCCTCTCTCTCCACCTACTTGTGATCTCTCTCTCTGCCTGCCTCTCTGCCTGCTTGTGATCTCTGTCAAATAAATAAATAAAATCTTTAAAAAAAATCTCTTAATATATATCTCCTATTGATTCTGCTTCTTTGGTTGAACCCTGACTGATACAGCCACCCAGCACAGAGCAAAGCCCTCAAACAGAAATCATTTATTAATACAGTCATTAATTAAACACACACACCCAGCTGAACCCCTTGTGTCTGGCTTTGGGCTAGGTTCCTGGGAAACAACAGAGAACCAGACAAGAAATTCCCTCCCTCCAGGCATGTTTGTAGCCTGCACCACCTGAGGACACTGGTGATTATGGCCGGAGGGACCCATGTAGTGGCTATTGCTGCTGGGACGACTTCTCCGCCCTGCGGGCTGGGTTTCTGACAATCTCCTTTAGGACTGAGAGTGGTTGGACAGCGACTGGGTGATAATGGGCGAGTGGTGATACTCAGGTAGAAACTGGCTGACAGGGACCATTACTGAGCTTCTGATGTGGCTACTAGACAGCCATGATCATGAACCCTGCTTCAGCGACCATGACTGATTGTGACCAAAGGACTAGGGCTGGTGGGTGTGTTTCTGGAGCAGGATATACATAGCTTGGTGAAGGTTGTTATCCACGGTTCAGGAGACGTGTAACCCAAAGTAGCAAAAGGCAACATTTAACGGGGCGGAACCTGCAGGCGCGGACCGTTCCTCCCCAGACCAGGAGCTCTGCCGGACCGCTTTCCCCGTCGCTCCCGTCCCAAGCCAAACCGCGAGAACTTCCGGTGCTCCGCGGTGCCCGGGAGGGGCGAGAGTCCAAAGCTGGTGAGTCCGGCCTCCTGGCCTGTTTGAACTTTTCTGTTTTTGTTGTCCGTGTGGCCCAGCCACCCTGTTCCCGGTTCGGGATCGCGGAGTGCCCTGAAGTGGGGCGCCTCGGCGGGACGCGCGCGTCCCTCTCTGTGGGCCAGTGCTTGGACCCTGGTGCCTCTGCAGGCCTTTCTCCCTGAAAAACCGTCACCAGAGCCCCCGTCGCCAGTACTTCCTGGGGCACCCGGGGTAACTTAGCTGTTTCCCGAACTTGGGAACTTGGGGGCCGGAGACCCTGGCCGCGCCCGATATGGTTCTGTTCGACTCTAATTTCGGGTAAGGTAATTTGCCCGAACCGACCGTTTGTTTCTCATCTATCTACAACATGGATATCATGTTTTTATTAAATAAATGCCTATCGAGGGGCTGGTTTGTGCTGGAGGAACAAAAAGACTCAAGTCTCACGGAGGTAACAGCCGTCTGCTAAACACAAACGCAGAACTGCAGCCTGATCAATGAAATGGAAATGTCCGGGGTGCCGGGGAGTGTCTCACGGGATACCTGACCTAACCCCGGGTCAAGCAGGCTTTAGTGAGGAAGTGAATATTGAGCTGAGATCAGAAAAAATGATTTGAGGAAGAGGAGAGGGAAGAGTTTTTTTTTTTTTTATTTTAATCCAAGGAGCCTCCAGCCAGTGTGGCGGGAACAGAGAACTCTGCAGAGTGCACGGTATGAAACAGACCGAAGGAGTTGGGAGGGGCCAGGCAGCCCAGGCCTTGTAGGTCTTGTAGGTCATGGTAAAAATTCTGGTTTTCCAGGAGCCAGAAGAAGAGCCACTCACATGGAATTCAGTGTGAGCTGGTGACATGCTTAGGTTGGGCCTTTGAAAAGTTCACTCTGGCTGTTGGATGGAGAACGGGTAACTTGCAGCAAGGAGGTGATGGCGAGAAGCAGGTGGACAGATGTGACTTTGTGCATTCCAGGGCATAGTCTCTGTGCCAGGCCGTGTGCCAGCTGCTGAAGATACAGTGAAGAGAATTACCGCTGGTGTAATTTGAATAAAGGAATGTCATTGTCAAGGAGGAAGGAGTGCAGGTACCACAAGGGAAAATGGCTAATTGATGAACAATTGTTCTAAATGTAGTAGCTCCTCATTTAGCAAGTACTTATTAAGTACCTTCTGAATTCAGGGTTGGGAATAAGATGATGATGATGCAAATTATTTAGAGCAGCGGCTTTCAGGCTTTTTTGACTGTGACCTGCAATAACAAATACATTTTACCTCATGACCAAGAATCCATACAGACACATAAAACTTCAGAAGACAGTTATCTTTATTACTCATGATGCACTCTTTTTCTTTTTTTAAATTTTGTTGTTTCCATTTTAAAAAAATGTAATGCTGGTTGAGACTCTCTAAATTGATTTCTTAACCCATTAATGAGTTTTGACTTGCAGTTTGAAAAAAAAAAAATATGCCCATTTAGAGTAAGAGTCATTTACCGTGGTTTGGGGTTAAGATGATAAAACATTGCCTCTACCATTTTTGGAACCAGGTCGGCCTTCCTTTTCTCCCTGCTCTAGTTTGTTCTGTTTGCTTAACATAGAAAAGAGTAAGAAGAATTAAACAGGCAACTGGTTCTTCTGTTTGTGAAATTTGGGGGTCTTGTTTGTGCATCTGGCTGGGTTGGAAGTCCCTAGAGGCAGTAGTGACTGTCCTACCCTGTGGATGTTTCATAGATCATTGTTCCAGGCAAAGATCTGGCCCAGTGCGGGCGCTCAGTGATTATTTGTTAAATTGAATAGGTAAGCGTCTTGGGACTAGAAGGTTAGATAATTGTTTTTATTAAATTAGCTCATGTTGGAACCATTCCTATAAATACCACCCAGGCAGTGTCTGCCTGCCTACACGTTGTGTCAGTATGTCCCCGTGGACAGTTCAGAGGTGGGTAAAATAAGTGTTCTTGCTCTTTCTCTTCTAAATACTGATCCTAGGCCAGCCATCCCACCTGAATCTATTCTGGGCAAGGCGGCCAGAGTTGCCACTGACTGTGGGCCCTTTTGGAAGTTGCTTCACTCCCTGGACTTTAGGGGTTTTTTATGCGTAGAAGATGAAGAGGAGGTTTGTGGTTGAAAAGCTTTCCACTTCCAAACATTTTGTGAATGAACACCCACTTCAGATGCAGAGCACCCACTTTCCACCTTCTGTCCATGTCTGGGCCTTCCTTAAGGCTTATGGGAAACTGGGTATATGCTGGATTTAATCATCCTTCTTAGCTCCTTGGGACTCTTCAGTGATAGGGTTTAGGCAGAGTTACAGTGTGAGGCAGTTTAGGCACAGTCGTAGTTTCTAATAGACCACCCAGGCTTTCCCCACCTTCATCTTGTTGTGGGAGAGAGATCCTGAGAGTGGATCTTGAGTGGGCAGTGAGAAGAACACTGGCCTGGAGGACAGGGTACCTAGGTTCTAATTTGTGTGACCTTGTATGACCTGGAGCATGTCGTTTATCCTCAATGTCTTTCCAGCTATGCAGTGAGTGTTCTTTCTCAATAAACCAAAACACAAAATCCTCTTCACCCTGAGTCCTCTTTTCCTCTTCAGTAAAATTGATGCAGGGTTGTGGCGAGGATTAAGGGAGATAATTATGTCAGGGGTCTGATTCAATCTGGCACATGCAGAATCCTCAGCAAATGAAGCATCTTTCCTCAAGTTCCAGTTAATTCTGATTTCTTTCTTTTTCAGTTGTTTGGAAGACAAGAGAGGTTCTCTTTTTGGTCACTTAGCACTGGTGCCATGGCTGCCATGCAAATGGATCCTGAGCTTGCCAAGCGCCTGTTCTTTGAAGGGGCCACTGTGGTCATCTTGAATATGCCCAAGGGGACAGAGTTTGGCATTGACTACAACTCCTGGGAGGTGGGGCCCAAGTTCCGGGGCGTGAAGATGATCCCACCAGGCATCCACTTCCTCCACTATAGCTCTGTGGACAAGGCCAATCCCAGGGAGGTGGGGCCTCGTATGGGCTTCTTTCTGAGCCTGCAGCAGCGGGGGCTGATCGTCCTGCGCTGGAATGCGATCCGAGAAGAGGTAGACCTGTCTCCAGCCCCAGAGGCTGAGGTGGAGGCCATGAGGGCCAACCTCCAGGAGCTGGACCAGTTCCTAGGCCCTTACCCATACGACACACTCAAGAAGTGGATCTCACTCACCAACTTTATCAGCGAGGCCACAATGGAGAAGCTGCAGCCTGAGAGCCGGCAGATCTGTGCTTTCTCAGAGGTGCTTCCTGTGCTGTCCATGAAGCACACCAAGGACCGCGTGGAACAGAATCTACCTCGCTGTGGCACTGAGTGCAAAAGCTACCAGGAGGGCCTGGCCCGGCTGCCAGAGATGAAGCCCAGAGCTGGGACAGAGATCCGCTTCTCAGAGTTGCCCACACAGATGTTCCCAGCAGGTGCCACACCAGCAGAGATAACCAGGCACAGCATGGACCTGAGCTATGCCCTGGAGACGGTACTCAGCAAGCAGTTCCCCGGAAGCCCTCAGGATGTGCTTGGTGAGGAGGAACAGGATTCTTTGGGAGTGGGCCAGGAGATGGGTGTATAGTAGTGGGTACATCTCCGGTTATCTAGTCCAGTGGCTCCTAAACTCGGCAAGGAAGCAGTCTTGCCCAGTCCCCCTGGGACTAGGTTAAGAGAGCTGGAGTGGGGCCCCAACACTGTCTGTCTGTCTATATAATAAACAAACACTGTAGGTGAACCTGATGCAGCCAGTTCTGTGTTTGGGAACCACTTATGTGGCCCAGCCCCTCATTTTACAGATTGAGGTTCACAGAAGGAAAGGATTTGGCCAACTATGTGGTCAAAGTGAGACCAGAACCCAGGGCTCCTGGTTCCCCGTCTCCCATCTGCCTCCTCATTTTGCTCCTGATTCTCTCAGTGTTGGTCTCTCCACTGGCTTAGACCAGGATCGTGATTTTTTTTAAATTATTTTTGTTTTTATTGTTATTTTTCTCCCTTATTGCAAAAGTACTGTATGGTCATCATAGAAGCAAAACAAAAATGCATTCCCAACTCCCACTACCTAGAAATAACCAAATTTTGTACCCTTGGGTATATTTCCTTTTCGTCTGTTCCATGTGTATGTATCCCTGTGCAGCATTTCATTGCAGTCTCTTCTCTGTGTATTTCTGTGTACTTCCCTTTAGTCTCTTTTTTCCCTCAATTATATGTGTTTGTATAAATGATTTTTTTATAATTTTTTTTTAAGATTTTATTTATTTACTTGAGAGAGAGAGTGAGAGAGAGCATGGGAAGAGAGAGGGTGAGAAGGAGAAGCAGACTACCCACTGAGCAGGGAGCCCGATGCGGGACTTGATCCTGGAACTCCAGGATCATGACCTGAGCCAAAGGCAGTCACTTAACCAACTGAGCCACCCAGGTGCCCCTATAAATGATTTTTTACAAAAACAAGATTGCAGTATACTATTTTGTAATCTGCTTTAACATAAACATGTTTCTATGTTGCTGAAACAGCCCCTTCTCGATAGTGTCTACTTATGTGCCATAGTTAATGAACCAGCCCTCTGTTGGTGGGCCTTTTAAGTTGTCCCTATTTTCCCTATCGTGTCGTCTAATGAACATCCTGTGTGTACTTATACATACATTTAGGGTTGAAATTGTTGGATCAGAGCCTGTGTGTTGCGAACTGGGATGAAGCTGTTGCCCATCATCTCTGAAATGGCGATTTAGCAAAGGCCTCTTCCTACCGGATGGTTGGAGAATGATATCGTTTCAATGTATATTTCTTTGATTCTAGTGACAGCAGACATTCGTCACATCTTTAACAACTATTTATATTTTTTCTTTTACAAATTGTCCAGGTATTTGCATATTTTTCTGTTGGAAGACCAGTGAGAAATTTGAATATAGGGCCCTTTATATCATTGCCTCTCTGATAAAAGGGCACATTTTAATGGGTGCATCTTAATGCATTACACAGTATTATCATTTAATAAGTAACACTTGGGAAATTCTGGCTTAAAAAAGAACGAAAATCCTGTTTTCTACCTCTTAAACATTTTAGTTCTTCAAAGTAATCTTGTGAAAGGTCTGTTGCAGGGATAACTTTTCATCTTCCTGACAACTCTTTGAAATTACTTCTGATCTCCTAACTTAATTTCAGACTAGGCCAGAAATTCATGAATTTAAGTAAATGCCCTAATTTCAGAGAATAAGCTCCTATTTTCACAAACTAACCAGGTAAAGCCAACTGTAGAAGCAAATCATTAACCTCTATCATAGAAAGAAAATTTGACAATATCTTTTTTTTTTAAGAGTTTATTTATGGGGGCGCCTGGGTGGCTCAGTGGGTTAAGCCGCTGCCTTCAGCTCAGGTCATGATCTCGGAGTCCTGGGATCGAGCCCCGCATCGGGCTCTCTGCTCAGCGGGGAGCCTGCTTCCTCCTCTCTCTCTGCCTGCCTCTCTGCCTGCTTGTGATCTCTCTGTCAAATAAATAAATAAAATCTTTTAAAAAAAAAAAGTTTATTTATGTATTTGACAGAGATCACAAGTACGCAGAGAGGCAGGCTCCCTGCTAAGCAGAGAGCCTGATGTGGGGCTTGATCCCAGGACCCTGAGATCATGACCTGAGCCGAAGGCAGAGGCTTAATCCACTAAGCTACCCAGGCACCCCAAATTTGACAATATTTTGAAAATGTCAGTCAAACATCCAATATATCTGGACCAGGCGGCTAGATAAACTTAGTTCCACAAGCCTAGGAATAGAGAACTAGTTTTTCATGTCTCTGAAGGTGACAGAGATCAAACAACCTGCATTTAAAGAGGTACGTAGTGTTGAGTGCATCTGTTCTTTTCATGACCCACGTGTAAGTGTGACACCACAGAGCCCCTCCTTAAATTTGAAGCCAGAGAGGATGTCTCTAATCAACAGCAGGGTATCTTAGCAACCAGAGACCCAGTTGCTTGCCCAAGGACAGTGGCTTCTGGATCGTGGGGTCTCTGTTTCAGACAGGCATCTGGTGGAAACGTGGGAATAATAATTAATATTTCCTGAGCGCTCCTTTGTGCCAGGTATTATTTTAAGTGCTTTATATGAACTATATTGATTTATTTACTCTTCCCCACAGCCCTCAAATAAGGAAATTGAGGTATAAACAGATTGAGTAACTTGCCCAAGGTCACACATCTCTGAAGGGTGGGGTCCAGATGTGAATTTAGGTAGTTTGGTTCATGCTGTTAGTCACCAAGCTGTTCAATGGAGATTAAATCACAGAGCCCCGTGGTTAAACAAATGCAAGTGATCTGGGCTTGAGGGCTAAGCCTCAAAGAAGTACTCACAAATTTTCCTCTTCTGGGAAGCTCTGGAACTATTCTCACCCAGTAGAAATTCTGTTTTATCTTCCATTGTTCCCATTGCCAAGCATTCGATGTGTGACCTTGGGTAAGTCCCTTGACTTTATCTGTAAAATGAGACAGGTATCACCAACCTGAACACCTTGTGGAGTTGGGCTGGGGATTACATGGTGTAGTGCAGCATTTCCCTGGCCCTGGAGCAGACCGTCTGCATCAGAATCACCCAGGAAGCTTTTCAGAGCTACAGACACTGAGGCTCTGCCCATCTGTCCTCAGCCAGGATCTCTGTGGGGGAGGCTTGCGCAGCTTTATCTTCAACAAGCTCTCCTAATACCAATGGGCAGTCCGGTTTGGGATCTGCGTGGTATAATAGCCATGGACACGTTTTGTAAACTTTTGAAGTGCCAGGCAGTTACTGGTAGATCTCTTTTCTTGCAGTCTGATTCTATAAAACCATGGTTTGGTTTCTCGTGGCTTGAATTTAGAGCAGTTCAGCAAACTTGAACTGAGCGTGTGCTCAGTGCAAACCGCTCCCCCCCCGCCCTTGCAGGAGAGCTGTGCAGGAGGCTACCACTGCTGGGGTCAGTAGATCGGGCACTCCACTCTCTCAGGATCATTTTCCTCTCTGTGCCTCCCAGGTGAACTTCAGTTTGCCTTTGTATGCTTCCTCCTGGGGAATGTGTATGAGGCATTTGAGCACTGGAAGCGGCTCCTGAATCTCCTGTGTCGCTCCGAAGAAGCCATGGTGAGGCACCACACCCTCTACATCAACCTCATCTCCATCCTCTACCACCAGCTCGGCGAGATCCCAGCCGACTTCTTTGTGGACATCGTCTCCCAGAACAACTTCCTCACCAGCACCTTACAGGTGAGCCATCTTCTGGCTGACACCCATGTGGGTCAGAACTAAGGTGAGAAAGTGTGAAAGCCCCTTTGGGAGGGTTACTTTTTTGTTGCTGTTTCCTGGCTCTCTCTTCTACTCAGTTGTAAGTTCCGTGATGCCAGAGACCCTCTCTCTCTACCACCGTCTCCCTGCCTTGCTTTGAGAATGCCACGCAGTGGGGTACTTGGCATTCGACTAACCTCTACCTCTGTGAGTTACTCAGCTCAAAACACTTTTTCTTTCTCCCTGTAGCCGTAAGTTGGTATAACCCAGTAGGACAGAGTTTTGAAGCTTGTTATTTCCAGGGAAACATCTGCAGCTCCTTAGATCTCATTTAAGCATTAAAGTAACTTTGATTTCCTGTTCAAACAAAACGTGCCAGTTTCTGCAGAGATTCTCTGACAGAAAAAGTGAAATTTGCTTTTAACTTGGCAGTTAAATTTTCATTATGAGTGGTAATTAGGGAAGACGCTTCAAACAACGTACAATCTTCATCCTGTGCTATTTCCTCCCTTTGCAAATAGATTAGCATCCTTTAAGTTCTTGGGACAGCCTCTGTCACTCACATTTTGTAACTTTCTCAAGTGTGGAAGAGGCAGAAGCTGCAAGCTCTGAGTTTCCATACGTTCTGTTCTGTGAGCTGCTTTTTTCTCCCCGTGAGTGAGACCACTATGAGGCCCAGTCCTAAGAAGCTGGCTTTTCCTTAACCTATCACTCCCACCCAGGGTGAGAGAAGGAACAGACATTCCGGAAATTCCTATTGGGTAGCAGGCATCATGTTTATTATGCTACTTGGGTTCCCTTATTTAATCTCTCTGGAGCCCTTCAAGGCAGGGAGGATTATTTCCTATTTAGAGAGGAGAACATTGAGACTCAGAAAGATTAAGTCATTTATGTAAGGTTACACAGCTGGTAAGTGGCAGAGTCAGGATTTGAACCCAGGCCTGAGGCTTGTGATTATGCTCCTACGTACTGAATATAATGTATTCCCCCAGTAAGGATTCTTGATTGGCATCAGTGGGGACACCATCAGGGGCTTATATCTCAGAGGTATAGAACACTTTTCTACAAACAACATGCTGTTGGAAGAATCCCTGTAAGCAGGCAGCTGACTTAAACCCGACATAACAGAAATTAAGTCCCTTTACCTTTCCTGTGAAGGGGAAATACCACCGTCCTCCCCCAACAAGTTCCTGGGTTACATGAGCTGGTAACTGATGAGGGGTGAGAGGGGGCATCAGCTTGCTGACTTGCCTCTGGCAAGGACTCATGGGAATGACATGCCGCTCTTGTGATGTGCATTAATGCTGTCACACAAAACATAGGAGGGCCATACTGTGTCATTGGCTGTTGTGACCATTGTCAGCAGAGCTGACCAACAGCTGAGCTCTGATTGCTGACACTGTGTTGCCAGCAATGATATATGAAGCAGTGAGGGCCCAGCTGGATTGCTAGATGCCCAGGTTGGGTGTACAGAGCTGATGGTTGGAAGAATTCTGTCTGGACTTTTCACCAAGAAAATTTGATGTCATTATTTGGAAAAATCCAGGACATGTTTCTTAAAAAAAATAATATCAACACATATTTTTGAGCATTCTATCTTTATATACAGCATTTTCCTGAAAGTGTTGAGGGGTCCGTATATTAAGGTTCCTGCCTTCAAAAGAGATTTTTTCATTGATTTAGCAGGAATTTGCTAAGCATCTGCTATATTCAAGGCCCTGTTGCAGGACTGGAAATAGAGCTGTGAGCAAGACAGAGTCCCTGACTTGCAGCTTATATTTTGATAGGAAAGTAAACAAATGAATTGACCAAGTCACTTCAGACAGCAGGGCTGTGCAGGGCTCATTTGCACCAGCCCGAGACCACGACCTGAGCCAAAACCAAGAGTCAGATGCTTAACTGACTGGGCCAACCAGGCAACCCCACCCCTTTTTTTATCCTAGTAAAAAAACACATGAGATCTAACTTCTTAACACATTTTTAAGTGTAGAGTACAGTATTGGTAGCTGTAAGCACAGCAGATCTAGAACTTTTTCATTTGGCACAACTGAAAACTTTATGTCTGTTTCATGCCTTCTTAACTGAACATGATTTTCACTCTGCCTGGTGTGAACTTGTTCATCCTACAAGATGCCCTCAAGGCATCCCTCTCTCTGAAGCCATTCCCAATCCCTCTCCTTTCCATATCATTAGCCTACTTTGGACTTGTCACTATTATATTACACAGACTGTGCCTGCTGAAATGTGTACATTGCCTGCCTGACTTCCCCACTAAGCCATGAACTTTTGCCCAAAGCCTGGTTTGTTTTTCATATGGTGATTTTCAACACCTGGTTGAGGCCTAGCACTTCTCTCACTTTGTGTTATCGGGTGTTTTTAGATGGCTGGAGTACATCATTCCCGTGGCAATGCAAATAGATACCCCTGATATGACAGGTGTAAACAATGCAGTCTGATCAAGGAAAGGAATTGGTTAATTCAGACGAGGGTTGCAACTTGAGGAGGAGAAGAGGGGATCAGGAGTGACTGTGAAGGGAGGCGTTTAACCATGTGCTGGAAGGATGACGGATTTCAACAGGCACCGTGTGGAAAAGGATATTACAAGATCTTTTTTTTTTTTTTTTTTTTAATGGAGAGTTAACGTTGGTACCATCCTGGCAGTGAGAATCCAGTGAGATTTTGCCCAAGAATCCAGACCCCCACAAAGAGGCAGTCACTCAGGGTGTGTGTGAGTGAATGAATCAGCCCATAAAAGCCTTCTTCAGCCACCCTCCTGCTCTGCCCCCAGGTAGTCAAGTAAGTGGAACTGGCTTTCTTACTTAGGAGCTTAAATGGCTACTACCCATGGAGAGGGACTGGTGTTTGTATGTGTAAGCACTAAAAGGCTGTCACGTTAGCTGGTATAAAATTAGCCACGTAATGGCCTCTGCCGTTAGAGGCCCTTTTGAATAGATGCCACTGGTTCTTATAAATCCCATGGATTTAGCTTGAATAAAAATCATTTGTTTTACAAAAATAGATACAGTTTTTTCTTTTATTAAAAGCAACTTGAGTCACCATAGTTTGTTTAAAACCAATGAAAGGATAATCTGAATTTAATAGCATGTTGGAAAATGAGTTATGTAGGAAATAAGGATTCTCACTGCTGATTGCATAGCATTGAGGCATATAGTCGGGTAACCTGTTTTTTCAAAATACTTTAAGTCACAATAGGCCATCTGTGCTTTCCAGCTTTATTTTTTGCCGATATTCTAAATCCAGTGTCCATCTCAACTCCTGATGGAAGACACTTGCTCTGACAGTGATGTCTACGGTGTTTTTACCAGAACTCCTGGCATGATCAATATACCTACCCACTCGCACACCTTCTGCCACCAGCTGTCACTTTTGCACACTTACTGTGTGCATTATCTCATTTAGCCCTCACCACAGTGCTCACAGCTAAGTATATAATCTCACTTTGCAGTGAGGAAACAGCATCGTAGAGGTCACATGATTTTGCCCAAGATCACCAGAGCTAGTGGATGGCAAGGCTGAGTTTTGATTCTAAAGTTGGTGGTGGGTTCCCATTTATTACTCCCAGAGAAACATCCCAGATTCTTAAACTGACCTCAGAAGACATGATTCCTGTTGCTTTTTACTCCCCTAGAAACCATTGCGAAATGATAGTTTTATTTAACACCACTTTCTTCTTCCGCAAGTGGAAATAGAATGTTCTACCTCTGGCTAGTTTCATTCTAAGTTGAAAAATCATTTGGGAATTGAAAAAATTAGGAAATTTCATCTTTTTTGTCTGTCCAAAAAAAAATAGGATAAGATAGTGACTCAGCTACCTACCTTGATATTTTGAATTTCTCAAGGTGACCTGACTGAACTCAATTTATTTAACTTGGGTATAAAAGAAGGTTTTCACATTTCTGGCTAAAGTAATTTACAGTTTTAGAATATACAGACTTAATGATAACAATATTAATAGCTTTTTCTGTATTTAAAGAAAAATACAAGGGGTGTGCTTTTAGTTTTAGAGAAATGCAGTTGTTTGTGAAATGTCGTTGTCCTCTTTCAAAAGTATTTTTTAAATATCCAGGATTGATCTTCCGATATTAAGATGATTCATTTCTCAGTGATGTTAAGAAGCGTTTACTTGATTTCACTTTAACAAGTAAAATAATTAGATCATGACCATGTTTTCTGAAGAAGCCATAAAGTTAATCTAAAAACAAGAGAATCAAAGAAAATTATTGCTTGAAAACCAGGTAATGTCTATACATCTCCTTTTCTGAGTTACGGGTTTTTAAAATACCAAGTTTATAAACTATCAGGACAAAAATAGATCACTGGATGCCAGGGGCTTAGGTAAGGGGAGGGTTTGACCAGTAAAGGGCAGCACAAGGGAATTTTTCAGAGTAATGAGACTGTTCAGTATCCTGACTGTGATGGTATGTGAGCTTCAGACTCATAAAACTGAATACCAAAAGAAAAAAAATCTGTCTTGATTATATCATACAGTGGTTGCATTTGTGTACACATTCGTCAAAACAAATCAAACACTTAAAAATGGGTGAATCTAGTTGTATGTAAATTAGACCTCAATAAAGTTGCTTTTTAAAAAAAGTCAACCTGGGCTATACCCTGAGTCCTGGAGGCCTGCAGAGAGGACAGTTCCAGAAGCACCTGGTCTCTAAGTCCCCCGCCTTCCCACAGGGCAATGCTGAAAATATGAGGAATGTTTTAAGTCTATGTCGAGACAAAAAGGTCTGGGTAGGGATGAGGGACTGAGATTTCCCTGCTGGGACTGGATCTCGCTTAACATCTGTCACTTACTCTGCATTTATCACCATTCTCATCTGTACAGTGGGAATAGTAATTTCCTGTCCTCTTACCTCCCAGGTTTATAGTACCCAGGCTTGTAGTAAAGATTAAATTGGTAAGTTCTTTGAAAAGGACAAAGCACTTTTTAAATTAGAAGCCTTATTTTTCAGACAGAAGGTTTCTGTTATACCTGCCTCTGGTTGATTTTACTCCCAGACGTTGTTTGAGAGACGGGTGGGAAGGATGAGTGATGAGTCTGAGCCCAGCCTGGTCAGACCTGTCACTGCTGGCCATTGCCAAATGCAGGGCAGTCCCTACATCTCATTCTTATCTGTTTAGTGAGCTTTCTGTGGGCCCTAACTCTATGCCAGGCCCTGGGCGATGTGCTGTGTGGGACACGTTGATAAAAAGGACTCATTCTCTACTCTTAAGGAGCACAGATACTGTGAGCACGGTGTGAGAAATGCCATAGGAGGGTTCAGGCCCAGTCTAGGGAAACAGGCTGAAGCAGTTCCTTTCGGTTTGGGCTTTTGTAAGAAACCTCTCACAAGGAAGTGGCTTGTGAGCTGGTGGCATTCAGGGGCCACCTCCTCCCCAGGACAAGTCCTTTATTTGGTCCAGCACCATCACATAATTATTGAGCAGTTATTTGGTGTCAAGGACTTGTGCAAAAGTGAACCAAAAATGGATTTTCATGGAGTCTTTGGTCTTCTTCATTCTTTTGCTCATTACACACCTCATGGGTCCTCTGTGTCAGACGCTGTGTCAGGAGTGAGTATGCAGTAGGACCCAGAGTCACTGCTTTGGAGTTGCTCCTTGTCTCTTGGGAGAGCTTGACAGTGAATGGGCTGTTACCTAACTGAGATTGAAGCTGTGTTCCTGGTAACTCTGGACGCTGGAGGAGCATAAAGGAGCACCTGTTCCATCCTTGGTCTGGGAAGACATGCTGAAGGAGGTCACGTCTCGGCTGAACCTGAGTCACTAGTAGGAATTAGTAGGTGAAGAAGATGAAAGCAGGGATGGAAGGTGTTGTAAGCCGAGGAAAAGGCACGTGTGTAGAGGCACAGAAGAGGCTGCGGAGTGTGTTTGGCAGCTGCTCAACGTGGCCGGAGAGGCGGGGCTGTGTAGAGAGGGGTCCAGTTTACTGTGGGGGGAGGGGAACAGGAAGAGGCTTTTGCAGCTTCGGCCACAGGCTCCCCAGGACCTCGGGACAGGCCCAAGGGAATGCAGGGCCTCTGGAACTAATGCTGTTTGAAACAAGGCTTCTCTGCTTTCCATGCGGGGCCCTTCCCCAGAGCTCAGCTGGGCTCCGCAGTCAGCTCTCCAGGGCAAGCTCCATTAGCTGCCTGCAGACAGGTGGCCGGCTTCCCTGCTGCCCTCTCACCGCCACGCTCACACAGCCCCTCTAATTAGTTATTGATCTGCTGTTTTATTGTGGCTTTGCTGCCCGCTTCTGTATTTAGTCGATTCCCAAGTTAATGAAACCAAATTCTGTAACCCCCCCCATTTCTGCTTCTGCACACCCACTGCCCCCAATCACTTCTGTCCCTGCTACCACTCCAACAGAATGACTCCAAACAAAGACCACTGAAATGAGCTTTACTCCTGCTAACAGGCAGTAGAGAAACAGCTGTAGAGTACACCTGTTAACTTTGTCAGGTCAAGGCCCCCCCAGATCCTTCCACGGTGATCTGCAGGCTGGCTACAGTGGGAGACCAATGGGGAACAAAGAGCTTCCCCCACCCTCACGCTCCTGTATCTGGGGTGGTTTGGGGAAAACTGCCCCTTCTTTTCCTGTCAGTTTTCATCTGGTCATTTAACTTCTCTTAGCCTCCATTTCCCTAAAATAGGTATTCTGGGGTGTCTTCCCAGAGCATTGTGAGGATCTTTTGGGATACTCTGAAACGTCTTTGAATTTGAAAACAGCAAAATAGTATGAGGAGTAATGAGTTTGCTGTTACTCTTAGAAGTGATTGGGATTCAGGAAAATCCAGAATGGAGTGTTAGATGCAGAGAAAATTACTGCTCTACCCCCTGCTCAACGTTTATATCAGATGAAACTGAATTAAAAAGAACGTCAAAACAAGGGATTAATACCCAGAATGTATAAAGAACTGCAGTAACTCGACAACAACAACAGAAACCTGGCTAAAAATGGGCAAAGGGCTTAAATAGACATTTCTCCAAAAAAGACATGGAAATGGCCAGTACATCTACATGAAAAGATGTTCAGCATCACTAATCATAAGGGAAACGCAGATCAAAACCACAGTGAGATACCGCTTCACACCCATCAGGATGGCTCTTACTGAAAAATAATAATAATAAATAACAAAAAACAGAGCTTGCCAGTGATACGGAGAAATGGAACCCTTGTTCATTGCTGAAGGGTGGCTTCCAGGGGCCGGGGAGAGGGGGATGGGAAATCAGTGTGGGTAGCTAGTATCAGTTGGGAAAGATAAATTCTGAAGATGGATCATGGTGATGGTTGTGAATGTACTTAATGCCGCTGAATTTTACACTTAAAAATGGTTAAAATGGTAAATGTTATGTGTATTTAATTTTTAAGATGATAATGTAAAAAGATGGTTTAAATGGTAGTTTTGTATTATGTACATGTTATAACAACTTTTTTTTTTGGGAGAGAGAGAGCGAGCATGTGTCCAGGTTGGGGGGGGGCTTCTAGAGGGAGAGGGAGAGAGAATCCTAAGCAGACTTGCCCAGCATGAAGCCTGATGAGGTTCCGTCTCATGACCCTGAGATCATGACCTGAGCTAAAACCGACAGTTGGATGTTTAACCGACTAAGCCACCCAGGTGCTCCTGTTAGCACAATTTTATAAGAAGAACGTCAAAGATAACTTCCAAGGGGAATAGAAACCTCTGACTGGCAGCCTGTGGCCCATGAAGATTAGAGCAGTAGTTCAGCCTCGTTGGCCTAGAGCCTGGGACTCTATGGGATGCAGAGGCTTATAAACCCTCCAGGCCTTTCTTGGCTCCTGCTGGTGTAGTTATTGCCCAGGTGCTCAGGAGAGCTCCCCAGGGGACTGGGCCAGGGTGATGGCCCCACTGGCCTTACTCTTAATGGGGCATCACTGCCCAAGATAGTGATTTTCCATTCTAGTCCTGCCCCAGCCTCTCAGCTGGGTTTGGACCTTCTTCCTTGATTTGTGGGGAGCACTGCAGGTGTCCTGGGCCAGTGCCAGCAGCAGCTGATCCACCCGCCCCAGAGGGCTGAACACCACGAGGAAATTTCCACAGCTTTCTCGGCCCTCTCCATGTTCTCAGGGTGACTTATCCTCTGTTCTCTGTAGGTTTTCTTCTCCTCCGCCTGCAGTGTTGCCGTGGATGCCACCCTGAGGCAGAAAGCGGAAAAGTTCCAAGCTCACCTGACCAAGAAGTTTCGGTGGGACTTTGAGGCAGAGCCAGAGGACTGTGCCCCGGTGGTGGTGGAGCTCCCTGAGGGTGTAGAGACGGGCTAACTGGGAATGCTGTCAGCCAGGGGAGGCCTCTTCCCCTATAGCTGCAGTGTTGGCCTCTCCATTCATCCCTTCCTTCTGGGACCTGAGGGGGTAGGGTAGTGGCCGCACCAGATTCTGCAGAGATGGAGCCAGAATTCCCTCTTCCACCAATAAATCCGTTTCTTCGGTGCCTAAGAGGCAGTATGCATCCGAAGCCACCTTCATGGGTTCCTGTCAGCCTGGCCACGAGGCGAACCTGACCAGATTCCAGATGGGCTCTTACAGAAGCTCTCAGGAGAGACCTGCCTCAGCAGCACCCTACTTCCTTCCAAAGGAGAAGAATGTGAGCCAATAGCCTAAGGAAACTGATTATTTATTCCACAGAATGGTTAGAAAACAAGAAACTCTGGACCACAGAGGGTTTGAGTGAACAGTTGGTGATTTAAAAGTTAAACAGGGTGAGAGAGAGATGAGCTAGAATTTCTGCCTGTCCTTGTTGAATGGGAACGCATCACAGAAGACACGGGCATGGGACCACCAGGAGCTCCAGAGTGTGGAGAGGGGACCCAGAAGACAGTTGGATTGAGTCTGACAAATGGTCAGTTTTTGCTTTCTCCAAGTTTCTTCCTTCTGTCCAGAGGTCCGAGTGGGTAGTTGTCCAAGACTCTTGTGGCTCCTGACCTCAGGGGCTTTGCCGAAGCCACATCCTTCCCATCTGTCCCATTTTGAGGCCTCAGACCCAGAGGTGGGACTTGGCAACCCTTCCATAGGGCTCCATTCCTCACCAGAGCCACCATGACTCTTTCTGGTGACCTGGAGATGGAACAACAAAGAGGGAGGTTCTTGCTCTGGAGAGCCTTTATTCAGGGCTCTGTGGAGGACCTGGCCAGCCCACGTCTTCTCAGTCCTGCCATGGAGCTGTCAGCCACAGGAGTAATGATGCTTGCATTTCCCCGGAGTCCTGAGGCTGTGCCCGTCACACACAGGTCCTGCCACCCTGACCTCAAACCGCTGTACTCCAGCAAGAGCCCCTGCTTTCCCAAGGTGCAGCTCACACCAGGTTTCTGAATGCGAATCCATGCTGGTTAAGACTTTTGGTTTCACTTGTTTCCTTGGAGATGTTTTGCCAAGAGCATAATGTACATTAAAGTCTTTGAGTTGAGACTAAATCCCCTTGTGTGAGTCTCTCTTGCAGTTAATTTGTCCACTTCTCGGCTGCCAGGCCACTGTCCATAGACACACTTCTCCCTGCTGAGCACCAGGAGACCCTGCCCGGCATCTTCAGTCTCTGGAGAGGAGGCAGGCAGCCAGCGCTGCCTGCTATTAACCAGTGGGGCCGCCGAGACAGGCATACCTGAAGGAAGGATTGAGGCCCTGTAGCTTTATAATAACCAGAAATTATTCTCTTCCTCCCAAAGCCCACTCATCACAACTACTTGGGGAGCTTGTTAGAAGTGCACATTCCAAAGGAAGAAATTCCTGGTCCATGCTATAACGTGGATGAACCCCTGAAAACGTCATGCCGAGTGAACAAAGCCAGACACAGACCCCATGTTACATGAGTCCATTCGTAGGGATTGTCCAGGACAGACAGATCCACAGGGAGGGCAGTTACTGGTTGCCAGGGACTGGGAGAGTGGGGAATGGGTTTGACTGCTACCGGTTACAGGGTTTTCTTCTGAGGTGATGGAAAGGTTCTGGACTTAGTGGTGATGATTGTACAACCTACTACAACAACTGTACAACAATACTAAAAACCACAGAAAGTACTCACTTAACATGGGGAATTTTATGCTATGCGAATTATATCTCACTAATAATTTTTTTAAGTGCATATTCCCAAGTCCCACCCTGTAGGGATTCCGAGGCAGTGAATCTGGATATGGCCTGGGTTCTAAGGCACACTTAGTTTTGAAAAACTACCCAGAAGTGACAGCATTGCAAGTTAGTACCTAGAGCTCCACTGGGACAGAATTTGTTTTGCACTAACATTGTCAGGGCAGCACGTGGAAGTGGGGATAACATGACTTTGCTCAGCAAGCTGTTGGTCTTCTGTCTCCACAGACCTGCTACCCCCCAAGTGCCGTGTTCTGTTACTTACTCCTCACAAAAATAGGGGGTAAGTGCTACTATTTCCCCCATTTTACGAATAAGAAAATGGGCTCAGAGAACTTCACTCATTCTGTCGGGACCCCACAGCTAGGAGGGACTGAGGACAAGAGTCAAACCCAAGCGCCTTGGTGTCCAGGGCCCCTGACAGCCTTCTCTCCCTGCTTCCCAGACGGAGCCTTGGTCCTGGCGCCAGCCAGCTGTGCGACTTCAGACGAGCCCCTTCCGTTCTCTGGGCCTCGGTCTACTTACACATAAAGTAAGAGAGTTTGCTTGGATTTAGGGTTTCTGATGGTAGATTCTCCAGGCTCCCTCAGGTATTTAGAAGTGGACTGTTGTGTTATTTTAAATGTTTTCAAAAGAGAAACTACGTTTGCACAGGATAACGTGACTGAGCTGACAAAAAACCAATAGGTCTCTCGTTCGGGGGCCGGAGTGACATCGACTCCCATCTTTTGTGTGTCCCAGCTGGCAGTCTTCTATGTGTCTTTGATGAATAAAAAATGTGAAAACAAATTAATTATTACTTAATACTTGCAGTATTTCTGGAAGACAGAAACCTTGCAAACGGAGAGCCGGTGGCCTTGCTGATCTGTAAGCTCCTTCCAGTTCTAACACATCTAAAAGTGAAGCTTTTGGCAGGACCTGGCCTGATTTCCAAATCCCCTCAAATGCAGGCCTCCTGAGGTCTGACTCTTATTTGCAAGGCTGCTTTATCCTATTAACAGAATCAGCAGAGGTAGCAAGTCTCCAACCACTCCCACTGTCCCCACGGCAGGCCTCGCTGATCTGAGCCCATCCCTCTAATTTCTCACCACTTGAGCAGCGGAGATCCCGCCGCGGACTGCCTCTCACCATCGATAATTACTTTCCCCACATCATCCCCTTGTAAATATGATTTAATATGCCCAGGGTACCATGACATGTTGGTTTCTCCAACTAATCAGACTCTGGCTTGACCAAAATGCCATCCCTTGCTGAAATAGGGGCTGGAGACGCTGAGTGAATTCCTGGGCGAAGCCATCACCGAGCCTCCGCCCCATGGTCACATCCTCCAAATCCAAAGCAGAACAGAGTGGGGACACTCACCTGAGCTACCTGCTGACACTGGGGGCGGTGTGGCTCCGCTCTTCTCTTCAGTCCCCTGCTGACCAGGGCACTTCTTTGCCTCAGGGTGCCATACATCTGGCCCAGGCAGGCTTTGTTTTCACTAGAACATTATACCTCCAGAGTATCCAAGGTCTCCTTGCTGGTGCATTCTCCCCCAAACCTGGGCTCCTGCCCTGGACTGGCCTCCCGGCTGAGATGGGGGGAGGGGGAATGGCAGCCAGAAGTAGTGTCAGCTGTTCCCTACTGGGGGGGGGAGGGGTGTGTCCCCAACCTTCCAGGCCTTCTGTCCTGTGTCCTCAATCTAGTGCTCACGGGCCTCAACTCACTAGGTTTCTCTGGAGAACAGGGATCCTGGGGGCTGTCAGTCAAAATGTTTGGTGGGAGGAAGGTGGAAGTAGGGAGCTTCTCAGTCCAATATCAGATGGGCTGTACGAAAGAAATTCCACAGGTCTGTCTTTCTTGGATCTTTGTCTACCTTCTTCCCTCCCTGGATTTCTCCATTTTTCCTGTGTCACCTCCAGACATTGTTCCCTGGCCCAAGTCTGGACTTCACACTTCTAAAGGGATGCTGACAGATGGGTTACATTTTGGCAAAAGGAAGCTGGCACATGAGACGCAGCTAGAGAAAAATGTGGGGCCCTCACCCAAGAGCAGAGAGGCTGGGAGAGCTGTCTTGAAGGAGGAGGTCTCTGCGCCCTTGAGAGGGTGGAGTTGGGACCCACGGGAGAAGTTACAGGGAGGCGACGGTAGGCTCTGTTCCTTCTTCATGCAAACAGTACTTTCTGAGTGCTGTCCCGGTGGTGAGCTTACGCTCATTCGGGGGGAGGGGCAGACAACAGGCATAAGAAGTAGGTTACAGAGATTGTTAGTTGTAAGAAATGCTCTGGAAAAAACTAGAGCAGGATAAGGAACATTGAAAGTCCTGGCAGGGTAAGAGGACATAGGGTGATTTAAATGGGGTGACATTTGAGCACAGATTTTGAAGGTGAGCAAGGAGTCATGTGGGCATCTGGGGGAAGAGGGTTCCAGGCAGAATGAACAGAGAATGCAAAGGCCTTGGGGCAAGAGCATGCCTGGTGTGTTCCAGGAACAGCGGGGTTCCGTATGGTGAGGGTGTGGTGATCAAAGGAGGTCAGCGGGGAAATCTGGGCAGCTGCAAAAGGTCAAACTGTCTAGGGCTTAGGGGCTGTTGTAAGAACATTGCATTTCACTCAGTGAGACGGGAACCCATTAGAGAGGGTTTTAGGCAGAGAGTGACATGGTCTGACTTTTGTTTTAACAGGATCACAAGCTGCTTCGCTGGACACAGACTACAGGGGGGATGGGCAGAAGCAGGGAGACAGGGAAGGAAGCTAGAGCACTGATCCAGGTGACAGAAGGCTCTGACTGCGGTCCGAGTCAGGTGTGCATGCTGGGCTGCATTCATGACTCAGGTGAAGGGTGCACTGGAGGCCTTCCAAGGGCTCTGCTAGCCCGATAACCCCTCACTTCTCCAAAGGCTCAGTATCTAGGCAGAATACCAGCTCATTGGGTCCCCATCCCCACACAAGTCCCCACTCTCCCGTCCCATTGGGGGTCTGTAAGTTGCTGTCACGCGGTAATCTTATGGCTCACAGAGAGCTGAGGGCAAGTGAAGCCCCCGTTGGTCCTCATCTATCCTGCCTGGTCAAGGACCGTTCCTGCCCCCACTTCCCACCACCGTGGTTGTGTGGACTTCTGATGATTCGGAGGACCTGGCATGTAGCAGGGCCCTCCTCCCGGCTGCCTGGCACTGTGTCGGGTCCTTACCTTATTCGAGCGGAGTGCCAGCTCTTCAAGGAAGGCCTTATTCTTCATGGTTCAGACAAGGAAAGCAAGGCTCAGAGAGGTGAGGCACAGGCCAGCGTGTCCCAGAGCCAGAATTCCAGCCTCCTGCAGGAGGGCAGGGCTGCCCTGCTACCGGCACGTGCGCCTTCATAAGGACAGTTATGTAATCTGGGGTAATGACCTGGGCATCCAAGGCTGCTAGTCTGACTACTTATGGAAGCAGCCCCACTGGCCCCTTGGTTCATGACAGCTTCCTCTTGTGGCCATCCAGACTCTTTGTGTCCAGTATCTGGCCTACACACGCTGGACCACAGGCTGGGGGGAGGTGGCTCCTGGGTGTGGGAGGAAGGGAAGCAGCATCCAGTCCAGGATGAGGCTGCTTCTGCCCCTTGCAGACCACTGGGGGTGGTGGGGGAGGGGTAGTAGCTGCTTAGCCTGGAGTGCACATGAGTGGAGGCCCCATACATTCTGTCCTACCAGAGTTGCTGTTGAGTTTTCAAACAGCATTTGCTTTAAAGAAAGACACTGCTAGATGTGGGGGCTCCAAGGGGCAGATTTCATGCCCAGTCATCTGATAGGCAGGTCTTCGCCTCTACTAGCCCCTCTGTGGATCAATAACCTGTTCTACTTGGAGTCTCACAGCCCAGAGGTAGAGGATGGGATGTGGGAGTTTGGGAGAGGGGATCTTCGTGGCTCATTTTGAATGAAGGCTATGCCACTCTTCGTGTCCGTTTTGGAAATTGTTTATGACCTCTGCTCATTTTCTGTCTGATCTTCTTTTTTTAAAAATATGCATTTGTTGGGGTGCCTGGGTGGCTCAGTGGGTTAAA